AGGCCCCGCTTTGGATGCTGACCCCCCCGCTCCGTCTTTTCCTTGGAAACTGCTGCCCCTCCCGGGGCTGGAAGGGGCTGGCTCGTGCAGCCCCTCACCCGCTGGGACCGTGGGTCCCTGCGGACAACCGCCTGGGTTAAAGTTCTTCTTCCTTTTAATGAATTCCCTTTAAAAAAAAAAACAAAAACAAAAACAAAACCCAAAAAAACAAACCAAAAAAACCCACGGCCGACTGCGACTCCAGCTTTTTGGTCGGCCGACAGCCTGCCTGGCTTTTGAGCGCCCTCTGGAAGTTTGCCAATGTCAATTAAAAACGAAACAAAATAAAACAAAAAAAATATATATAAAAATAAAAAAAAAAATTCAGCAATAAATATGGAAAAAGAGGTGGAGTGGTTGAGAGCGGCAATCTCCGCACGGGGCCGATCGCATCCTGGTTTGGGAACTGGTGCTGTTCCCTGCCTGCACGGTGGTGGTGGCGCGGATGTGGCAATACCCAAGGAGCTGCGGCAGAACAACAACTTTAATCCAAAAGGGAGGGAAAAGACCGGTAAAAAAAAAAACTCAGAACATCTTCAGGCACTTTGCAACACCAGTAGTTGAGTGGGCAAATCCAAAGCTGCCGCCCCGGTGCGCTGTCACCGCAGCGGGGGTGATGGTGACACGTCCTTGTCCTTCCCGGCTCTACCCCAGGAAGGTGGAGATGAAGACGCTGGTGTCCAGGTTGAGCGTGGCGTGCCACCACCGGTCGGGGAAGTACAGGACCTGTTGGGAGAGGGTTCTGTGGGCTCCTGGGGCTGTAGCGTCCGGTGCTGGGTGGGATGTGCGGGTGGGTGTCCCCTCCGCCCTCTCGAGGGGAGCGGAGACCCCCGGGGTGACACCTGAGCTGGCCGGACTCACCTCCCCCACCGCCCCGGGGCGCAGGGGGCATTCCAGCGGCCGCTGGGCCGGCGGCAGCGCGGGGTACGTGTGGCGGAGCCAGGCCAGTGTCGTCTCGTTGGGGTGGAAATGGGGTGTTTTCTCCGGCGGGTACAGAAACCAGCGCTGGAAAACACCGGGGGCGAGGGGAACACGGCACACCCCCATTTCCCCTCGGGCTCAGCCCCATTGGGGTCTTCCCCCCCTCCTCCCCCCCAAAATATCCCCTTCAGGGCTCGATTCTCACCCTCCCGCCGGAGATCAC